TTTGAGACAGCATCTCACTCTGTTGCCCTGGGTAGCATGCAGAGGTATCCTAGCTCACAGCAACCTCAAATTCATGGGCTCAAGCAATCCTTTTGCCTTAGGCTTTTGAGTATCTGGGACTACAGACATACACCACAACATCTGGCTGATTTTTCTATTTTTTAGTAGAGATGGTTCTCACTCCTGCTCAAGCTGGTCTTGAACCCCTAGAGCTCAAGCAATCCACCATCCTAGGCCTCCCAGAGTGCTAAGATTACAGTCATGGGTCACCATGCCCAACCTTCTGTGCCACTTTGAATTAGCAAAGTTGTTTAGGGGACAGGGGTCAGCTGTGTTGGGGGTTGGGACAGGAAGGAACCAAGGTGTTACAGGGGACCTTTGTGCCTTGGATAACTGGTTAGGAGATCAAATGAAATCTCGAAGAAATGGATGGGGGGATGCTTTTGCCTTGAGTGTTAAAGTGTTCTTAGTAGACAAAGGCCAGGTGTCATTTCGGAATTACTCCCTGCTGAAACAAGACAGCTTCTCTATGCCCCTGCATGTGCCTTCAAGAGAACCAGTTTAAGAAAATCTAAACTCCACCCAGAAGAATTTAGAGGTGGTAGTTCACTTGTGAGAGGAGTGACATCTCTTTCAAAAAATGTGGTCATCTGGTGTTTATTGTACAGAAGATTTTTCTTTTTTTTTTGAGACAAGCTATCAGCCACACAAAAGGTTAGGTAGAGAGAACCACTGGGGGTAAAATGCAGAATAAACCCCAGAGCTATAGAAGGAAGGGTCACTCAGCCAACCAAAGCTGTGACACCATTCAGCGGGGAATATATCTGACTTGCAAAACCATGGGATGTGCAGGTAGCAGGGCCACTAGGCAGAGCCAGACATTGCAGGTTGTGCAAGGTGAGCCTTTTGAGCTGCTTCCTGATTTGTTATGCTGCCTGTGAGCAATTCTTTGGGGAGCTGCTGCACAAGTTCGGGGGCATTGTGGGGAGTTGCTGGTGTCTTAACTCATCAGCTCCCAGGAGCTGGCTTGCTGTAGGCCTGTCCAGCATGGTGGCATCTCA